GGAAGAGGGCGGGAAGGGGGGGGTCCAAGTGGACATGGTCCTGCTCATCTCCAGGGTCTTGACCTCTGCACGGGGGCTGATGGAAGAGGGTGGTGGCTGGATGCTGCCAGACTGCAGCAGGCTAAATATGAAGAACAACACGGCACGGTCCAGAACTTGCTGGGCGGCCCAAGCTGGAGGCTTGTTTTGTTTTACTGTTTTGTTGTCTCTCTCTCCCCCTCTGGGTTTCGTGGCTCTGAGCTGCAGGACTGGAAAATTATTCATCCAAACCGCAGCTCCCATGACACCCTCTGTAAGCATCTGTGGCTCCAGACTCCGCTGCAGCTGTGGGTGGGATGTCGTAAATTCATCATCGTCACCAAGTCGGCCTCCTGTTAGACAGGACATGAAACACGCAGCAGCAGGCTGTGCCACAGACGCAGCCATATCAAACTCACCGGGTGAAACCTGTTGGCCAGTGTGCATGACAAATCCCTGGCCCATGCCTGTCCCATTGATGAGAAGGTCCCTTCATACCTGCCAGAGCAGCTGTGCTTTAGCTGCAGATGTGTGCAGGTTCACCTTGGCTGCTGGCTCTGCTGGAAACACTGTTGTGTTGTGCTAGCCAGATGTGAGGGCTGTGGGATCACTTGCTCCTGGACTGCTGGAAGCTCTGCAGACAGCAACATGCCTCCCCCACTGTGGCTTTCACTTGCTTCCTTACGACCTGGAGCCAGTGCCCCTCGCAACTCTGTGCCACAAGTCCTGGGTCTGTGCATCAGACCTGCCTGGCTGTGTGTAGCTCTGCCCCATGCTGGGACTGCCATCTCTGTGCATGGACACAGAGGAGACTCATGAGCACTTTCCCAAGGGGCTGTAGAAACATCTGGCGCAGCAGCCCGTCTGGCAAGGCAGATGGACAGTGATGTGCTGAACTGAGCCCTGTTGGGACGAGAGGTGGTGTGGGGCAGGTGCCAGCAGAACTCACTCCGTCACTGCCATCAGCTAAGGGTGAACTGGGGGGTGGCCAAGTTGTCTCATGTGGATGTTGTCCTGCTCTTCTCCACGAAAGGCAAGAGCCCACAAGCAGTCCCTGGGAATGCTGTCCCATTCTGAGGCCTCTCTCCTGTGCCGCAAGCTGTAGAGCCAGACCCAGACCCTCTCCATGGGGAATATGGCTTTGAGCAAAGCCCCAGGCATAATGACTCTGAAAGCCACAGGGTAGCTCTGATTGCAGAAAAATAGAAAAGAGACGATGGGGAGTTCCTGCCCCTCCTTATCCTTGGCAGCTGCCCCTTTCTGAGGATGCAGTCCCGGCCAGGCTGTTGGGAGACCCTGGTAGCTGTGCTTGGCAGAGCAAGGGAGGGCTTGTCTCTGCAGAACCCCAGGCTACTGTGGGGTGATGCACAGCCAAAGGGGCAATGACCACCCACCCAGGGCAGGGAGCCAGCACCCACAACGGCTGCCAGGCTCTAGAGAGCAAAACCCCTGGTAATCCTGCTTCTGTGCCCCTCACAAGGCTCCTGCTGCCTCACGGCAATGGCTCCTCCTTCATGTCTTCACTGTCACTGTGATTGGCCCCGCTTCACAGGCCAGGGCGCTCCACAGATGTTCTTGAAATCCTCTGAGACTAAGAGCATTAGGTGTTTTACACATCATAAACCATGCTGGGACATACAGGTACAAACGCTTGTCGGTGTTCAGTGGAAACTGCACACTTTGAACAAGAGCCTGTTGGGCAGCAGGCTAAAGCTCACATCTACACACACCTTTGAGACGTAACCGTGCTCAGCATCTGGGGTTTCTGGGCCATGCATAGCAAATGAGAGCCACAGGCTGTGTCCAACAGCACCAGCAGGGAGATGCTGGAGTTGGATCCAGGTCTGGTTCATCTCTCCCCTGTTTGAGGGAATGAGCACCAGTCCTTTTCCTACATCAGCAGCTCCCTCTCTCATTCCTGCGCAGGGACCTCTGCCTTCATGTGCTTCACAGGTCAGCTGTGCTGAGGCTAAGGCAGTGAGGAGAAGACTCTGACAAGTGGAGGGGATTGGGCCTCCGGTTTGGAAGTATCAGCACTTTCACTGTCCTTGTAGGGGTTTGTTAGAGTGGACTTATAGGCCCTGGCAGAAGGGCTACTGTCTTGTAGCCCAGGAACTATTTTTAAGGCTGGCTGGAGCTGGAGGGTGAGAGTTGGACATCAGGGTTGTTTCTGATGGAGGTCTAAGAAGGATGGGCCTATGTGCATGTGGCAGCAGGCCACATGGTCTTTGAGACTGCTCTTTCTTGGGTGCTCTTGGGATAAACCCCCCAACACTGGTGAGGTTCTGTGCTGCTGGGCAGGTCTAAACTTCGCCAGCCTATCAACTCAAAACTCTGGACAGACAACGGACATGTCATTCTTTGGACCAGATTTGATTTTGCAGCTTGCTTGCTTTATGTCAGGCCTCCAGCATGCACTGGTGTGTTCTCCCGTGGTGCCCCAGAAGAACATGGCAGGCGGCTGCTGCTACAAACTGCACGCATCTCATGAGCAGCAAACAGCTTGACCCCACCAATCCTGCCTACTGGGCTGGGGGGTCACTGGGAGCAAACATTTCCTTGCTTCAACACATCCTGCAGCACAAGCATAGTTAAGAGTTACTGGTTACATGAAAGTCATAAAGCCAAGAGGCTTCCTGTGAGCCTATGGGCAAGTGTCAGACTCCTCCCAAGACAACATCATAAATCCTTTTGTGCACATAAGAATATCCGCTGAGTTTTGCGGGCCTTCTTCATGTTGAAAGTATTCACGCATCCTCCTGGAGAGCTCTTGGCATGTTGGCATCCAACCAGAAACAGAAAGGCTACAAGTCCCTGTGATGGTCACTTGTGCAGGCTGAGCCACGAGTGACCTGTCACGCCATGCTGGTGGGTGACCCTGGGACAAAGATGTAGTCACATGGAAACATTTTCAAACAGCAACTGGATCCATGACAATCCAGGTCAGGGTGGATGAGGGTCATCACGGGCAACTCAGGATGCTCTGACCTGTGGTGAAGACAGCATTGCACACACAGAGTGCCTAGGATGGGGGGAAACAGTGGGGGAAAAACCAGCCCTGTATGGGGCTAAGGCTCTGCACCATCTTGGTTTCCTTTAGCCCATGAGTGCTGCAGCTTGGAGCTGGGAGCAGAGCAGGGAATGCAGTGAAGGAGAGGATGGCCGAGGGGACTGAGCAGCAGCGAAGCCCTGCCTGCAATATGGAAGATACATTGTGCGCATGGAGAGACTGCTCCTACCTTGCTGCGCACTGCCTGTGTCTACACGTGGGCGGTGGGTGCAAAGGACAACAGGCAGGTTCCCACCCCTGGCTGAACACATGGCTGGCAGCTGCACTGCTCTGGTGGGTGGTGGGGACGGGAGCTGGGTGGGCACAGCAACTGCCAAAGAGAAAGACATTATCTGGGGAGAGGGGGAAAAGGTGCTGGGCATCAAAACCAGTTGCAACTGAGGCATCATCCCAGTGCTGGGATGGCTGATGGTTGCCCATGCTTAGGTGCCCTGGGTGTCCCACTCTGAGCTGCAGGCAGCAGGGTCCTTGTTTTGGAAAACGGAGAATCTGTTTGTGGAAACACAGGGGCAGTAGGATGAGTGGCCAACTCAGTCCCCAACCTGGTGCTGTCTACTCCTTGCAGTAGGTCTTGGGACCTCCTCGTTGTAGATGTTGTGTCTCCTCACCCCAGTCCAAGGCAGCTTCCGCAGGGTATGGTATTGTGGGTAGGAGTGTGGGCCCAGACTGGGACAGGGGTGCTGCTTTGAGACTGTACCATAACCCTGTGCTGCCTGAAGGGTTGAAGGAGGGTTCCCAGATAGTTTTTTCTACCCCAGGAATACGCTCGTGAAATCACCTGCTTTTTTTTAACTCTTCCTTCTGACCTGCACTTGGAGCTCAATGAACCAAGTTGCTACCTGCAATCTCAGCTTGTGCATGGCCATCCCTGCTTGCAGAGCAGCGGTGTCTCTACACGTGGCTGCGTGGACATCCCAATTTCCGGAGTAGCAGCCAGTGCTCTGCAGTGAGCCACAGGGCTGCCAGCTGCTTGCCAGCATGTCAGCTGGACCAGGTGGCTTTGCTCTGGTCCTTGGCTCTTGGGAACCAGCAGGTTCATAACTTCAAGCCCAGGCTTCACCAGAAAATGTGTCTCTTCCTCATAAAGCTGTGGATGGGTTGGAGGCTCACTGCAGAAGTGTTGCCTCAGTAACAGGAGCAGATGAGAGTGAGCAGAAGCTGCTGTGTGCCATGGGCTGCAGTATCTGGAGTGCCCAAGGGCACCCCATCTGCTGCCTATGGCTAGGGACACAGCTGCCCTTTTGGGAATGGCTGCTGTGCTGCAGCAGGGGCAGGCCTGAGCATCACTCAGACCCCACAAAATGC